TTTTTTTTTTTTTTTTTTTTTTTTTTTTACGATACTTACCCATCTTGCATTAGGGTATAAGTAAACTTTATAATTAAGTATTTTTTTTTATAATATTACATTAATATTGTAATTTAGCTAAAATTAAGATAAAATGGGTATAATATGGATTTGGTTTAATTAGATAATGATATAGTTGGTGGTGGTAGTCACGTGGATTGCACACTCTTGAATAATTTTATGTGTAATCCGTCATAATTTCCACTCTCTATCAAACTTTGGTGTCATCCTTCTCAGCATTCCAATATAAAATATTCTTTAAATTATTAATTACCATAAAAAATAAAAATAAAAATAAAACCAAACAATTTGGAGAAAATCATCCAAAAGTTGGTTATCGGTTACACGTTAAGTAGTGATTATTGCAATTATTTAACCTAAGATTTTTTAAATCTTATTTAAAATTTCTATTTAATGACTAATATTTTTTAAAAAAATTGTATATTTGGAATTCAAATTGTAATGAAAAATATGATAATATATTATATATTTATGGAATAATTTCTCTTTCTTTTCCGTTACAAGAATTGAAATAAAAATATGGAATCAAAATCAATCAATCAATCCAAAAAAAAAAAAAAAATTAATTTAGAGATTTTTTTAATCAAAAAGTTTATAAATATTTAAATAGTATCGATTAAAATTAAGAGATTAATAACGTTTCATCAATCACAACATTATTCCACGTAAGCTCACGTGCCATACATTTTACACGTTAACTGTCACGTTAATTTTTATTTTTTATTATAATGAATAATTTCAAATTACAATGCTATTTTTATATATAACAAATTTTAAATAAAACTTTTTAATCTCGTATTTTATATAATTTAACCACATCTCGATTTTAAACGTGTTATACAACCAAATTGGTACTCATCCCGATACTATCTTTTTTGGATTGTTTTTGGGCCTCTCCATTACGCTGTATGCTTAGAAAAGGTTTTCACACCCTTCTAAGTAATGTTTCGTTCTCTTTTATTTTTTATTTTTCTTTTATTTTGCTTTTCCATTTATTTCGATCCTTTTCAAATATAACCGAAAGGCCTTTTATTTATTTATTTATTTATTTTGTGTATAAAATAAATATATGAGGGTGTTAATTAATTTATAAAAGTCACCGACGGCAGATAAAAAAGGATAATGTAAAAGTGGGATTTATAAATTCATATTATTTATTAATTTATTTATGGTTTTGGATCTCACTTTTGTATTATTAAAGCTTCCTTTTATAAAGCTTTTTTATTTTTTGAATTTTCTAATTATTCTAAATTCTCATTCTTCCTACTCTTAATATATTCTTCTATCTTGATTTTACAGCTGGCAAATTTTAATGTCGGTGTTATATTAGAATAACGTTATTTATAGCTCAAACTGTTATAAAATATGTACTTTCCATAAACGGTGTTGGTTTGATCCATCCGTTCAAGTTTATGATTTGAAATTCGGCAGTCCCTTGCATCTCTTACAACATGGTCAAGTTACCTCTTTCTCGCGTCTTAAGAATAAAAACTATTTTTCAATAAGTGATTAGAACATGGTCAGGAATTCCTTTGATTGGACTACCAAAAACAAATATGTTTTATCCTCACTCACATGCATCTCAAGAGCTCCTTTAATTAAGCTCAAAAAACAAAACATGTTTTATCCCCCACTCACATGCATCTCGAGAGTTCCTTTAATTGAGTTACCAAAAACAAACATGTTTTGTCTTCACTCGCATGCATCTAAGGAGTTCTTTTAATTGAGCTACCAAAAACAAATATGTTTTGTCTTCACTCATATGCATCTCAGGAGTTGAGTTCTTTTAATTGAGCTACCAAAAACAAATATGTTTTGTCTTCACTCATATGCATCTCAGGAGTTTCTTTAATTGAGCTACCAAAAACAAACATGTTTTGTCTTCACTCGCATGCATCTAAGGAGTTCTTTTAATTGAGCTACCAAAAACAAATATGTTTTGTCTTCACTCATATGCATCTCAGGAGTTCCTTTAATTGAGCTACCAAAAACAAACATGTTTTGTCTTCACTCGCATGCATCTAAGGAGTTCTTTTAATTGAGCTACCAAAAACAAATATGTTTTGTCTTCACTCATATGCATCTCAGGAGTTCCTTTAATTGAGCTACCAAAAACAAACATGTTTTGTCTTCACTCGCATGCATCTAAGGAGTTCTTTTAATTGAGCTACCAAAAACAAATATGTTTTGTCTTCACTCATATGCATCTCAGGAGTTCCTTTAATTGAGCTACCAAAAACAAACATGTTTTGTCTTCACTCGCATGCATCTAAGGAGTTCTTTTAATTGAGCTACCAAAAACAAATATGTTTTGTCTTCACTCATATGCATCTCAGGAGTTCCTTTAATTGAGCTACCAAAAACAAATGTGCATTTAGTTGATATAGATAGTAACTTTCATTTCCTTTAAATCTTTCTTAACCATCATATCTTGTTCGGATGTGGTCTCGATTCATTCATGTACAATGTCACAATTACTTGAAACAACATAATCCAACTCTATTTTGACTCGAAAGCTCTTCTTTTTTACTCAGGTATACCTTTCATTTACTCGAACAAGACAATAGTTATCATCTAAAATACCGATATCATGCACATTTCTCCGTTCTTTGTCCATTTGAGCCCCACCCATCATTGTCTATGGTTTGCATAAATTTTGACCACTATTATTGGAAACATTTGTTCATGGATATACAAATGATATGCAAGAATCAAGATTTTGATAATTGAAGCATTTTAGAAAGCCTCAATGTCTACCTTTTGTAAAAGAAAAAGTTTGTTTCTTTCTTTTGTTATTAATTTTAGTGGCTCTTGTGTATGAACTCCACTTTTGTTTTTCCTCCATAAATACCCTTCTTCATGGCGTGTGTCCTCCACAATTCTCCTTCATCTTTCTTCAAACTTCATAGCTTTTTATCCTTCAATCTTCCAAAAAATGGAGCCCAACAAGTTGAATCTAACCAATTTGGAGCAACAATCCGGGTCCGAGATCCAAACCAATGAATTCGACTACTCAAAACGCGCACAATGGCTACGAGCCGCCGTGCTTGGTGCCAACGATGGGCTTGTCTCGACCGCGTCGCTTATGATGGGAATCGGAGCTGTGAAACAAGACATCAAAGCCATGATCCTCACCGGGTTTGCCGGGTTGGTGGCCGGTGCGTGTAGCATGGCAATCGGCGAGTTTGTGTCGGTTTACTCACAATTGGACATTGAAGTAGCTCAAATAAAAAGAGAGAAACTACAAAGAAGAAATTTAGAAGGACAAGAGCAAGAGAGCAAAGATGATGAGAAACTACCAAATCCACTCCAAGCCGCGGCAGCCTCCGCCTTGGCTTTCTCCTTAGGAGCAATGGTACCACTATTGGCAGCTTCGTTTATAAGAGAGTACAAGGTAAGGCTTGTGGTGGTTGTGGCAGCGGTGACGTTAGCGCTCGGCGTGTTCGGGTGGTTGGGTGCCATCCTTGGAAAAGCATCCCCAATCAAATCCACCATAAGGGTGTTGGTCGGAGGTTGGTTAGCCATGGCTATAACCTTTGGCTTGACTAAGCTAATCGGAGTAAGTGGACTCTAGCCGCTCCAATCACAATTTAAAAGGCTAGAACAACCTCGTTTACGATTTTATACTAAAAATGAAAGAATGTATATTATATATTATGTATTAAATAGTTTTTTTTTTAATTCATCTTAAAAAAAAAAGAAAATAAATAAATAAATAAATAAACCCTAAAAGATCTTAATTTATTTTGGGTGGGGGTGGCGTGTAAATTTCATTTTGTTTGTTAGAATTACAAAAAAAGAGAAGCAAAATAATAATAATAAAAAAAGGCCTTTGTTTGATGAATATCGTGTAGTAGTTATTATTAATAATAATAACATTAATTAATTAATTAATTAATAATTATTATTATTTAATTTTATTAATTTATTAATGGTCAAATAGCCCTAGCCTCATTCACCCCGGTGAAAAATTACTTTGAATTAAAATTATTTGTCAAATTCAAGTGTATAATGAGAAAGTCAACTCAGTAATTTACTCTACTAAGTTATTTTTGGTCGGTGAAAAATTATATTAGATAAGTATTTAAAATTAATTGGAATGACACCATATGAATTTACACATTGATTTTTCTTTCGTTGGAGACCTTGTAGGCCCACTCCCCCCGAAAAACCATATGTTTAGCAATCGAGCTACGAGGGCTGTCTGCCTCTCACCACCTGCCCGTAGTATGTATAGAATAGGTAAAGGTATAGAATAGGTACAACTATAGAATAGATACAGCTAGCTTTTCAGAGACATTATAATAGGTACATGCTATAAAATTTTTAAAATTAAAAATTAATGAGAATCAAAATTGAATATGCTACAAAATTCTAACATTGCATGAGTTTGTATTATTTATTATTTTGAATTATTTTTAGTAGAGATATTGTTATATTAATACAAGTTCCAAATAATATTAAGTTGGCTAATATGACATTGGAGGAGTAATTGGGTTGGGCCCAGCCCACTGCGGATCAAATTAGTGACTGAAGTAATTTGCTGGGCTATGGCTGAGGAACAAGAACGTGGGTTGGGCTTGGGCCTGGTTTCAACTCCTTCTTTGAACCCATACCCAAACCGAACTGGATCGGGTCGTTAAAAATTATACCCGACCCTTATAAATCGGGTTGGATTAGGTTATCGGGTTCATGGTTAATTGGTGTATATTTTGTACATTTATTATTATTATTATTAAAATTAGTATATTAAATTATGAAAAATTGAATTGAAGCAAAATTGGTAAGGTCTAATTGGATGATATAATTATAATTTTGTATGAAATTGGATTAGAAAGTTGTGGGCCGAAATTGGGCGCAAGGATTCTGTCCTTCATATGCCTAAAACGCAGCTCCGATCACCGACGACGCTGGTCCGATTCAAAGCGGTCGCCATTTCCGGTGAAAGAAGCAAAGTAATCACCCCACTTCTATGACTCTACTTATACAGGTACAAACCAGTATTTCTGGTTATCTTTTTACCATTTTCTATCGAACGCTTTAATTTCTTCTTGGAACTTTCAGTTCCAGCGACTTTCTCAAGCTGCGTTATCTTTTAATGTTCTGGATTTTTAATTATTTGACTTCGGCATGTGGAATTCGAATCTGTTTTGCGGCAATTAGTACTTGTACTGATTTCTTAGATGATGTATTTTGATTATGTGTTGTTCCTTCGTACTGATTTCTTGTTTAAGTGTGATGGATTATTTGTTGTTGGGCACTGATTATAGTTGATGGAGTTATGATTATTTTTGCAAATGTGATGGATTCTGTTTGCTTTTCATTTTGCTCACCCGACCTAAACATAACTCAGCACATTAGGGCACATGCATTAAAAATCTCTATGCCGCCTGATATTGACAAAACTAGGTAGTGGAGCAAAGACATCTTTGCGGGGGAAGTTCGAGAGTCGAAGTAAGAACTGATTGCACCAAAAACACAAAATATCATTTCTTTTTCCGGATTAGAGTTTTCAGTAGTAATCCATGTAATTCTATGGCTATCATTTTATTCAAAAGAAAGACATGAAAATCTATGGGAGCTTGGTCCTTGTAGTGGAAAAGGCTATAAAATATAGAACTAGTTGTAGTTGTATGATTGGGAAGAGAAATGTCTACGAGAATGTAGCACGTTAGACCGGGATATTACATCCTTTAGGCAGTGTTTGATTCTTGGATTAGATTTGTAGAATCTAGGATTAATCTTGTTTTTGATCGATGTGTTGTGTATAATCTAGGATTAAAAATATATGAAGTTACAAGTTTGCTAATCCGGTCGACTGCATAAACTAGAGCCTATAAAATTTACATTTTACAATGCAAACTAACTTTTATAAGCACATTACCAACCATAAATTTCATAAATCTAGGTTTCTATGATCCATGTCTTTTCCAATGCAAACAAGCTTCCTAGCATGAGACTTGTTAAATGAAAAAACAAAAAAAATCTTGGGAAATATTCCCTTGAATTCTTCAAGTGTTGGTAGATATTAAAAACATCTTAAATAAAATCTTCTTTCATATGGACGTGATACTCATATCCACTGCTTCACATAGAATTTCAGAACTTAATTAACTTGCAGACAATCCACCTTTGGTTTGTTTGATCTAACCGTTGTTTGAATGCTCTGTTAGCTGTAAATATTATTTGTTCCTTTCAATTTCACCATTGGAATGTTTCAGTCAGCATTGCACTAAATATAGTAAATCTGTTTAATTGCTTTCATTTACTTTTCTCGTGGCACTTCTTTTTTTTCCTTCTTTATTTGTTTCATTTAGAATCTCCTTATTTGTTCTGTTCATTTTAATTATCTTCCAACAGGCTTGTCTCTGCTACGAGAGTCAAGACACATGATGGCATTAGAACCATAGCATAAGGATGTTGTTTGAAGTATTACAGAAGTCCAGGCATTGGGATCCTAGGCTTTCTTCTCCTTATTCCCTCAAATGCTTCCTAAGGAACTTTTCTCTATGGTCAATGAAGAAAGACCCAGACCTTGAATCAGCTCTATCTCGTAATCGTCGATGGATTGTCAATAATCAAATCAAGAATATCGTCCTTCGTTGCCCCAATCAGACGGCACCTGTAAAATTTCTCCAAAAGAAGTTTAAAACCCTCGACTGTCAAGGAAAAGCCCTTAACTGGCTGAAAAAGTACCCAATCTGCTTTGAAGTTTATCTCCACGATGATGAGTACTATTTTCGGCTGACAAAGAGGATGATGGCTTTAGTTGAAGAGGAAGAAACTGTCAAAGATATGCAGGAGCCTGCTTTTGTTGAGCGGTTGGCAAAGTTGCTGATGATGGCTTCGAATCAGAGACTAAATGTTTTAAAACTTGGTGAATTAAGGCGGAATTTTGGGCTCCCAGATGATTACTTGATAAGAATCGTTCCCAAACATTCAGATATGTTTCGAATTGTAAATTATACTGGAAAAAGAAACTCAATGGAAATAGAACTGGTCTCTTGGAAACCAGAACTAGCAATTTCCAGCATAGAATCTTCAGCCTGCAAGCATGGGGTTGAGCCAGCTTTCTCCTGCTCACTGCCAACGACTTGGGTAAATTCGTGGGAAAAGTTTCATGAATTTAATGCCTCTCCATATATTTCACCATATGCGATCCATGCAGGGTTGGTGAAAGATACAAAGGAGATGGAAAAGAGGACAGTGGGGTTGATCCATGAGATATTGTCGCTGACATTATGGAAGAAAGCATCAATTATGAAGCTTGGACATTTCAGCAGGGAATTCGGTCTGCCATTGAAGTTGAATGCGTTGCTGCTTAAGCACCCTGGCATATTCTATGTCTCAAACAAGTATCAGATTTACACTGTTCTTCTTAGAGAAGGGTATAATGGATCAGAACTAATTGAGAAAGATCCACTAGTGGTTGTAAAAGAGAGGTTTGGAGAACTGATGCAGGAGGGACTTCATGAATATAACAGGCGACATCATTTGATGAATTTAGAAAAGAAGAGAATGAAGGGGATGCTTTTGGGTAGATCAAAAAAAAACAAGAGGAAAGACTTTGAACCAGATGATCTTGATGATCAAGGAAACAATCTAGGAGGTTTACTTGAGCCAGAGGAAAGAAAAAGATTCTATCAGTATCTCTTTGATGATGGTTCTGCATGACCTACACAGATTCGCTAGAACTTCTTATAGTTCTAAATTTTCATAGTCGTTTGTCGTAGCCTTGCAGCGCCTTGTTTCACCGTTTCTAACGTTTATCATGGTAAATATGGTATTGATAGGTTGTAGATTTTTTTTTTTTTTTACTGCAGATCATTTGCTGCTTATCTGATCACTATGTCAGCGTCGTTTAACATTATCATTTCGAAATGACTACAGGAACTGTCTGTATGCCAAACCTGAATTAGTATAGTAATCCAGGAAATGGAATGTTTCAACTTAATATTTGTCTAAAGTTTGGCAGGGCGGAGCTTTTGGTTTAAGCTCTTCAAAGCAACTAGTTTTGCATCAATGGAGTTGAATTGTAGATGAGTTGTCTTCTCTGTCATGAGCAAACTGAAGCTGCTATAAAGTGCCGAGGAGAAATTTCTGATTTAATGAAGAAAACTATGGCATGAGATTGTGGAGAATGAATATTTACTAAGGGGACACAACCATCTCTAAACTAATTTGGGTGAGCTGGTCGACAGTCCAGTTTTCAGGTCAGGACTATTGATTCCTGCCTTACAAGCCTGATTTAAATGTTATAATAATATCGGCGAATAAATCAATTCCTGTGGGTTTGAATAGAAAATCTGAATATAGTTTATGACCCAGTAAAATAATGATAACCTGAATTGAAAAGCTATTTTTCATATTCAAGAACAAATTGAAATGTATGTTTCATTAATTTGTAATCTTTATTTCTTCTTTATCAAAGTCTATTACTGAGTAATTCTTTCGTAGATATGTTTGATAAAATATATAGGTCTGAAAAGTCAATAGGAAAGTATCATAGTAGTTCCCATTTTTTTCTCATCTCCCCAGTTTGCAGCCACTTCCCCATGATATAGGTTATCAAACAGGGTCGTTCATAGTAGAGTAGAATAGTGTTCGTGTTAGTTGTGTGTTTGTATTATAGTTGTACATGTCACTGTGCATGAAATCTACTTGGAAACAAAATGAAACAAGTCAAAGTGAGCCACAGAGTTCAAAGAATCCAACAAAAACAAGTTTTTTCATAAGGACGAAGACAGAAGAAAAACAGGAAAAAGAAAAAAAGAGAGACCAAGCAAGGCTTGATTCTCTATGACTTAGAAACACAATTTCAAATTGCGTATACTTGGCCTTGTATACAAAATCTGAAGGCACACTCACTCAATTTGTGCAGCCAATTAAAATGTCAGACAACTACAGTTACTCAATATATCAAAACAAATAGCTAGTTATCTATCTTATGTAATAGAACAGCATAAGCATAGCAACTAAAGGATAAGCCTAATCTATGAACGAAGTTGAGTTCTTGAAAGTTCTGAGTATGTAGGATCCTCAATCGTTCCTGCTCCAGTCGACTTGATAGAGAAGACGAACAAGAAGTTGCCATTAAGGATGCACGCAAATGAACTTCCAAACTGATAGCTACACAGTCCTCAGTGGAGGTGAAACCAATATGACACCATCTCCTCTAACAAAAAGAAACGGGACAGTACGCCTAGAAGTCTGGAGAGGAAAGTAGACAAATATATGAAATCTCAACTGAAATATACACGAGAAATGCTGGAGTTAAAATATCAAGTATGGATAGACACAATGAACCAGCTTGAGGAACACAATGAACCAAAGGTATTCTTTTCCTTTGGTTTTTAAATTCAAACATTTGAGCAATAGTATTTATTTCCTTTAAAAACGCATTGTACACTAGTAATCCAGTGTTCACTACTGTAAACTCACCTGATCTACTTGAAAATGGGACCAACTTAGTATTCAAAATTATTTCTGCAGAGTAGGGATTGATACAAAGTTACAAACAACACTAATGCAAGAAAATGAGCATACCCGAACGATCTCTTCGTAAGTCTCGTCATCAATTTCTACAGTAGTAACAATTTCTTCAACATCGCCTAGAATCATATTAAGATGTTGATCATAAGCCTGCAAAACATCATGATAGTCAGGCAACAGAAAGTAGTTGAAACTCCAGGAAAGGTAAATCTCAGTAATGGACGATAAAATTGAAGAGATCAAAGCTGAAAAATTTACATTCACAAAAGCATCTCAAAACTAAAAATGCAATAGAAGAGTCCTGGCATCAGTTACTACTCATAATCTGCATCTGTGGATAAGTGGATCACACAACCGACCAGCCAGTGTAACAATGATATTGTTAAAAAAAACCAGATCTCCACATGGAATATAACCGCACAAGACTAACGCTAGTAGATATTATCCTGTTTGGGTTTTCCCTTCAAGGTTTGAAAACGCGTCTATTAAGGAGAGGTTTCCACACTCTTATAAGGAATGTTTGTTCTCCTCTCCAACCAATATGAGATCTCACAATTCACACTCTTTTGGGGGTCCAACGTCCCCGCTGGTATACCGCCCAATGTCTGCCTCTGATACCATTTGTAACAGTCAAAGTCCACCAGTAGCAGATACCACATCAACCGCTAGCGGTGGGCTTGAATTGTTACATATGGTATCAGAGCCAGACACTGGGCAGTGTGTCAACGAGGACGCGCTAAGCTCCAAGGGGGTGGATTGTGAGATCCCAAATCAGTTGGAGAAGGGAACAAAACATTCTTCCAGTGTGGAAACCTCTCCTCAATAGATGCGTTTTAAAACCTTGAGGGGAAGTCCAAAGAAAACAAAATATCTGCTAGCGGTGTGGTTCTTTGTAACATTTGGAGTGTCGGTTGAAAATGAAACGAAACACCTTCGTAATACTACATCTCTATAGAGAATAAGAAGGAGACCATACTAGAATAATCTTCTTTCTGCTTAATTTCCAATAGGTGAGACCAGAGGCCCTGTAGAATGCGTCTACTTTATCGTCTAATACTTTTCACCGTTAGGGCAATTCTTCCTAATTTAAACAATTCCAATCCCTAAAAATTAAAAAAACTTTGAAACCACGCCCGCCCCATCGCAAACGCAAAAACTCAATAGAAGAAAGGCTAATTGCTTACTGTCAACGAAATGAATGCAAACAAATTTCAAGGGAAAGCCATCAAGTAACTAAAAACGATTACAAAACCCTAATTCTCCGACTATTCATTTGATCAAAGGAAAAAAAAAAACTAGAAAATTCAATAATTAGGGGCATTTGATTAGAAGGGGGAATATGTATAACATAATTAGAGAAAAGAAACAGAGAAGATTAAAAAAAAAAAAAAAAACTGGAAAAAGAAGAAGGAATGAAGAAGGATATGGGTAGTGTACATGGAGTTTGCCGCGGAGTTCACGATCAGAGCGGAGCTTGACGTAAATACGCTCATCAAGACTCAACCTTATGAGATCCAACGGCTCCTTGACAGTGCTTTCTTCCTCGGTCGCCATTTCCGCTGTCTCCAAGGTCTGTATTCGCAGACTGAAGAGGAGTGGGGTTTATGAGTCACCCATCCCTACAATCATCGGTTTGGGTCGAAACCGAATTTCAGTCCATAACCAAAATGCCAGCCTCAATAGCCCAATACAAATCATTATTTCACCTTTTAGACCCGACCCGACCCGACCCGACCAGGATCCAAATAATTTATCATTGGTCCAAAAGTTCTCTCTCAAAATTTAGATTTTGCATTAAAAAAATGTATAAAAAAAATAAGATTTATAACATCCTTAGGAGGGTTTTCATCATCCTAGGGGTGTCAAAAAAATTTGAGCAGCAACCCGTTTTTGGATTAGATCAAGTTCAATTAAATGAAAACGGAAACTTCCCGAGTTCAGTTGGTTTATGGAATTTTAGACTATTTTGAAAGTTTAACCATTCCCTGAAACAAAATAGTTACTTTTTTTCATTCCGAACTAGAGGTAAAGTAAGAATATTTTTTTAACTTTTTTAAAAGGATATTATTGAAAATTTGGAAAGTTGAAATACTAATATGGGTTCCATATAAGATATGGAAACGTGATTGTCAGATAAAACAAATACAAAATCCCCTTTAAACTGGAAAAAGAAGAAAAGAAAGAAAAAAAACACATCTCTTCTCTTGAGAAAAAGAAGGGAAAGACAAAAAGTTTACCCCTTTTAACACGCAGTTGAGTGTAGAAAAACAGGTAAATAATGGCCTGGGAATCAGAGGCTTCAGCCAAAATCGAAAAAAAAAACTGACGCTAATTCTAGTAGACGAAATGCTGCTCAAACATGTCCTATGATTTACACAGCCCAATAGCAGGAATCCAGTTTTTGTCATGATTTGTGACGTCAATTTATAATGTCTCCCCCGGATCCTCCCATTCATTGAACCTGTATAAACAAAACCTACGCATTGCTATTGGCTACTCCGATCGGTTCCTTCGCCCACCCATTTGACATTTGCCTATTTTCTCTTCTTAAAATACAAAACCCCACATCCCCCCCGACCCTTTTCCCTTTCTCGATCGCCACGCACAGCCAATAAGCGCCAGGATCTGTTACTCTACACCTCTTTGCCTTGCCTCCGCTCTCCTCCTCCTTTCTGGGTTTTGGACAGATAAGTGCTTTTACTCCTTTGTTCATCGCTTTGCTTTGAAGGGTTTCTTTCTCTTATCTTCCCCTTCTCTGATTTAATCGCTCTTATCAATTATGGGTTTAGTCATGTTTGAAGGGTTTCTCTTGATTCTTTTGGTTTCTGCCCAAATGGGGTTTGTTTGAAAGAAATTTCCCATTGTCTAGTGGGGAAATTTCGACCTGGGTGTGCCTTTTTTTCCATTCTTTATCAATAGGGATGATTGTTTGGTGATTTAATAGTTCAAGGTTCATATGAACGATAGGATTCTGGGCTATGCGTTTTTGGGTATGAGATGAAATGTTCTTTTGACATATATGGAAGGTAATTTATCACAAGGAGGGTTGATTCCAGGAGGAACCTCTTATGGAGGTCTCGATTTGCAAGTACCCTTCAAGGTTCATAGCCAGGCACAACACTCTCACGCCTTACACCAGCAGCATCATCCTCATACTCGTCAGGGATCTGCGGCCAATCCTTCCATTCAGGAGGGATTTTCACTTTCCATGGGAGTTGTACAAAATTGTGACCATGCCATGTCTTTGGTAGATTTTAACAAGGGAGAAAGGTGTAAAAACTCGGCTAGTGATGAAGAGCCGAGCTTTACTGAGGATGGTATTGATGGTCATAATGAGACGAGTAAGGGGAAGAAGGGATCGGTATGGCATCGTGTGAAATGGACGGATAAAATGGTGAAGCTTCTGATTACAGCAGTGTCTTATATAGGAGATGATATTAATTCAGATTTTGATGGGGCTGGAAGAAGGAAATGCCATATTATACAGAAGAAAGGTAAATGGAAATTGATATCAAAAGTCATGGCTGAAAGGGGCTATCAAGTTTCACCTCAGCAGTGTGAGGATAAGTTTAATGATCTCAATAAGAGGTATAAGAGGCTCAATGATATAATTGGGAGAGGCACTTCTTGCAAGGTTGTTGAGAACCCTGCACTTCTTGATGTTCTCGAGTATTTAACAGATAAAGAGAAGGATGATGTGAGAAAAATTTTAAACTCGAAGCAACTGTTCTATGAGGAGATGTGTTCTTATCATAATTCAAATCGACTTCATCTGCCCCATGATCCTGCTTTGCAGCGTTCTTTGCAGCTGGCTTTTAGAGCAAGGGATGATCACGATAATGACGAGCCAAGGAGACACCAAAATGATGATTTTGATGAAAACGAACATGATGAAACTGATGAACGTGATGATTTTGAGGAGAATTTTGCATCCCATGGGGACAATAGACGATCGTTCGGGGTATTAGGAGGATCAGTTAAGAGGCTAAGACGAGGCCAAGACCATGATGATACTCATGCCTGTGGCAAATCCTTGAGTTCTCATGCTCACGCACAAGCACAGTTTGCTCAAGCTGATACAGCTCACTTAGAAACTGAAGGTATGAAGGGTTCTACGTCACAAAAACAGTGGATGGAGCTTCGTTTACTTCAACTGGAAGATCAAAAGCTTCAAATTCAAGTTGAAATGTTGGAATTGGAGAAACAGAAGTTCAAGTGGGAGAGATTCAACAAGAAAAAGGACCGTGAGTTGGAAAAAATGAGGATGGTAAATGAGAGGATGAAGCTTGAAAATGAGCGCATTGCACTCGACTTAAAGCAAAAGGAAATTGGCTCGGGATTTCATTGATTGGCTGCTATAATCCGAACAAGTTTATCAGGTTGGAAGATTTTCTTTCAATTAAACTACTACTTTGAATCATTGAGCTGCTGTTGTTTATATATTTCTGGTTATGCGAGTAATGAGAGTTTTATTTGGGTATTTTTACATTGCCTTCATCTAGCATGTAAAGTTAGAAAGGTGACAATACAAATGGCTGCTTTTCACTGTTTTTCCTTTACTAATGTGGAATCTGTCGTGATTGAGGAATATGAAGAATGGTTGATATGTGCCAAATTGATGCCATTTCTCTGAATTAATTCCACAGTTTTGGTCATTGTCTAGTATACAGATGATTACATGTTCTACTGGATTATTGAGCTCTTTAAATGGAGAATTGCATAACATCATCTCTCAATGGATTTCGTGGTGCTTTCTTTGTTCATTTTACGTTTTCGATAGTCAAATATTCATAGCTCCACCGTGCATTATGCTCGTGGATCATCTCCTCTAATTCCCTAAGAGGCTTCAAGCTTCGTGAAAGAACGAAAGTCTTTGAGTTATTAACGCCTCGTTTGATAACTATTTCATTTTTTTTTTTTTTGTTTAGATCCATGGTTGTGGAATGAATTTCATTTTGTAGATACAGAGGATCTTAGATTTAGAGAAGTTGTAGCATCTCTAACTCTGAGGTTGTTTTTCCCTTTTCTGTATACTGATCCTACAAACACATTTCATCATCATCCACGGTAACTTCTAGCCCTGCTACGAGCTAGCTCGTTCGTTCGGGGAATTCTTGCTTTGGAAACAACTGCTTGTATTCTTATATTCTCATTAAGAAATGTTCTCATGTAGATATCTTTATTTAGTCGTTCCTTTTTGGTTTGGGAGTTGTCAGGTGTGAGATCCCACCTCAGTTGGGAAGGAAAATGAAACATTCTTTATACGGGTGTGAAAACCTCTCTCTAGCAGACGCGTTTTAAAAATTTTGAGGAAAAACCCGAAAAGAAAAGTCTAAATAGGACAATATCTACTAGCGGTGGGCTTGAACTATTACATCAGGTTCTGGCTCGTTCTGTTTGTTGTTAATACACTAACCGGTGGGAAGAATTAGTATAGTTCAGTGTAAGGTTACATTTTCTTTTCTTGGCACTGTTTGCTGTGTGTTATGAAATGCTGACTTTATCAATTGAAGTGTTATGAGAGTGAGCGTCGGAGTTCCATTGTAAAAACATGTAAGCACGGTGGTGCTCGAGCAAGTTGAAGCTCCCAAATCACATACTTTACAAACCTTGATGACCATGCTTGAAAATTATGAGTTAGTATGAACTGCATTACGAGATCCCACGTTAA